CGAGAGCACCACCTCGACCTTCAGAGTGGGATCGATCATGTCAATATGCTGTTTGGATGCTATAGACTTTAAATAAAAATAATTAAAATATTTTTATAAGTATATATCATATATATTACTTATAAGCCCTAAAACTTTTTGAAAGTAAATCTTACACTAAAGAATGAAAATTTATTCTTAAAGATTGAAAATTGAGCCACTCTTTGTCAAGACTCAAATTTCACTTTTAGAGTAAGATTTCATTCCAAAAAATTTAGAGAGTATATAGAATTAGTATATGCTTTAAATCAACATATATTAATATAAATTAGATGTTATGTTAATATATATTAATACAAGTTATAGTCTTCCATTTCAAATTTTCTGTTGTTGACTGTAGGTCAGTTCATGTTGTACTTTTTGTACTTAAAATCTTCACTTTCTTTCGTCCGAATATACATTTATTTCGTTTTAAATGCACAAATTTTTGAAAATTGTAAACAATGCAAATAAATATCTTATATCTTATAAGTTTATTCTTTGTAGCTGAACTAAAGTATACATTTTTGTATTTAAAATAAAATAGGTATATGTTTGATATTTAGTGAAAGCGAAGAAAGTAGTCGATTTTATAGTACAATTCAACGCAGTAATAAATAAACAAAGCTATATATTCGAAATTTGTCGAAAACAAGGTAGAGAGTTTTAATGCAATTCAATTTAATTCAGTGCCGTGATAAAGAACAGACTTCTTGTCCAGCTTGTTCTATTTGTGATAAGTTTAGTAACACATGGTGGCGGTCTGACGCAAATGCAATAGAGTGTTAGTTGCGATTCAAGATTTTCTCTCGCAAAATACAGACGATATTTTGTGAGACACTTACGAAAACACGTAGCAAAGGGCGCATCGACGCTGCAGACGACTGCATCAATCGGCGGATTAACGTAAAATTAAATATCGATGGAGAAATTGTTAAAACCTGATTACGATGAAACGCATGACACACAGTGCATGTAAAGATGCAAGTGAATACTTCAGAGTTCAAGAAGCTTTAATAGAACTATTACGGAGTTCGAAAAGCGATTCATAGATGTCTCCCTTACAGCTATTTTTATAGAGTTCTTTAGGTTTGTTTTCTGCACTGATTGCATTAGTTCAAAAAGTGTACATTAAAACGTTTTCTGTTCTCAAAATGGCGTCAGCGACGGTGTTTTTTGTCCACTGCAACATATGTGTATAGGTTTTTTATTAACTTGCTTCTACAGCGATATATTGTTTGTTTATTAATATTCAAATTGTCTTCCTTTCATTGTTTAGGGGTTTACAACTTTTCGCATATAACAAGAACAGAGCAGGCTTTCGTTTTGAATAAAAATGCATCGAATTAGCCTAATTTCATTAAAATCGCAAGTGAAGTAACGATTCTAAATAAATGCAGACTAAAATACGTGTACATAGCGTTGTATTAAGTCGGCGTGACAGATTTCCTGCAGAAATGCGACAAATGAGCATAATTTTATTAAAATTCAAGGTGAAGGGCGTCTTCTAAATAATTATCCGAGAATTTATGAGTAATAAAATGATAAATATATATAAATAATAGCACGCCTACATATAAAAATATTTTATGTCATCATTATCTTTAATTAAGAATTTTTTTTAATGGAATTGCATTCATTTTTATCACACATCAATCTAATATTTTTATGTAAATATGCGACGCCATTTTTATCTTGCACTAAAACGTTTTTTATTCCCTATCTGCACGTTTACACTCGTCAGTTCTGGATTACACTAATTCAGTTCAGTTCTAGTGTAATCCTCGTGTAGGAACAGAAAGTAAACCTCTTATAATTATATACACGCACGCACGCACATATACATATATAATAAAGTTTATAATTTAAAATTATTTTTGTTCATTAATATTACGGTGTATATTTTGTATTTCATTTTTATATTAAAATAACTTTCACACAGGAAATTACAAATAATTAAAAATTTTTTATGATTTGTAATATTTATTATACTACACAATTAATATTAATAATGCAATGTATATTATAAATATTTTATAATAATATATTTGTTATAATAATATATGCAATATATATAATACAATATTTTTCATTGTTCATGACTTTTGTTATACATGTAAACAAAGAATATAATAAATATTAATACAACGTAACTAGTTTAATATTTATATAACATCAGAGTAATTTATTATTAGTTTAACATTGAAAAGTAATATAACTTATGTAATATAAAATATATATTTTTTCGAGCATTTTGTGCTTCTTCATTAATATTATTAATACAAATTCTTTTATTCTGTAACTAAAAGAAAATATGTTAATTTTAATAGTTAAATCAATTTAAAAAGTTTGCATCCCCATATACAAGGTAAATCAGAGACGTTGAAGCTTTTTACCCTATGAGAAAATAATTGACTGCGCACGTTATAATTTAATTAGGTATGAAGTCGATAATTTTCTCATAGAGTAAAAAGTTGATTCAACCACTGATTCACCCTATGTATGTATATACATATACAGGGTGCGGCAGAGAAACTTACTTTTTTTAAAGGTTAATAAAAACGAAACTATTGCAGATATCGGTATAATTCTTTTTTCCTCTTACAGATCACCTCATCAAATTTTTTTTCATGCACTTTTGAAAATTACATCTATCAAATGACGGCCGCCGTTGTCTATGCACTGATTGAGTCGATTTCTGAAGTTTTGCGTCACTCTCTGAAGCATGTCCACCGGTATTTCGGCGATGGCGTTCCGAATGTTTGTCTTCAGGTGAGCTAGGGTCTCTGGTCGATCGTTGTAAACAATAGACTTCAAATAACCCCATAGGAAGAAGTCGCATGGAGTCAAATCTGGCGGCCATTACCAAAGTATGCCTCGACGGCAAACGTGCGATGCTCTCTTGTCCAAAGCATGATCGAGACTGGCTGTGGGGGGAACAAAAATTGAGGACCTATCCTTTCGGACGCACCCCCTCCCAGCTTCCTACCTTCACCCCTTGCCTTTTGGCGCGTTTTTCAAAAAAGTAAGTTTCTCTGCCGCACCCTATATCTTAGTGTGTACTATAGTAACATATGTCGCAGTACGTATTTCGAACGTTCTGAGAACGCAATATACTTTTTCAATATCCCATGAAACCTGCTTAGAATTAACATGTGCTATTAGAGTTATGATTCTCATCGAGTTTAAAATCGCCTTATATATATTTATTTCATATAATTTAAAAAAAAAGTATAAAGAAAATTAATTTTTTAATTAGATTACATATTAATAAATAAAATGAAATAAAATAAACATATTATTTTTAAAAAATATAAAGAAAATGAATTGTTTTAGATTACGTACCAATAAATAAAATAAATATATGAATAAAAAAATATAAATATGATCAACATAATAAAAAAAAATGAAATGGAAAAAATAAATAATAAATACATAATAATTATAATAAATAATAACGATACTAATATTAATAGTATATTATTATTATTTGTAATAATAATTAGCACAAATGTTAAAATTAATTTATTAAATTCATTATAATCAAATGTGAAAATTAATTTATTTCGAAGACTTAATTTTTCTTATATTATATTTCAGACAAATTTAAAAAAAAATAAAGGTACAATTATATATGAAAAATAAGGTTTCAATGAAATGTATTAATTTTCACACGTATTAGTTTAACATTTATGTACAATATATATGTAATTTATAATGTAAAAGATTTCATAGACATAAGATCTTAATAATTTTTGAAATATAATGTCCGAATAGTATAAATAGAGTAGAAATTTTATCTACATCTTTTCTAATTGCTCAATGATAATCTAAAAATGATATCCTAAGAATTATATGTAAAGTCATTCTAAGATCATCTGAGATAGAGATTTTTATCATGATCAAAAAATGACATAAA